AATAAAAAAAACTTTAAATTTCATATGCATAACCGTAAGAACCTAAGCTACAAAATGACATTTTTTATTTATTTTTTATTATGTAATATTTTGCGGAATTTTCGAAAAACTGCGTTCAGATACTTTCTTCCAGGTACTGTAAACATAGCGGGCTTTTTCTATGATTGGCTGGCATACAAAGAAATTGATTGGATAATTTTATTATTATGACGATCATTACTAATAAATTTTATATAATATATTAATATACCAGATACGTCGTTATCAAGAACATAAAATTATCATTTTTAAAATAACAAAATGTACATATGAATTTATTGGTAGTGTTTCTACACATCTGGTTCATCAAAACGCTAGTTAAAAACCTTCTGCTATTATTATAATGACAAAAAGGTATATAGGTAATAAAATACATCTATAATTTGAAGCAATACAAATAAATACCTCTATATCTAAATGACAAACTTGAGAAAAAAAGTGTATCCCGCGTTGAATTAAATATTTCTTATTCGTAAATAATATATTTATATGATGCTGAAAGCTTAAGCTTACATTGAATTTTGCGCTTCAGAATTACCCGATGTACCATATAATTACAATAATAATTACCTAGATTATTTACATACACTATTGATCCTTATTGCCTAATGAAAGAGTTTTAAATATTGCATGTTAATAAGGTACTTGTTCATCCAACACTTGCTATTACAGCATACCGCTATATTCATTCATACCTTCTTTTTGGTCTAGTAGATCTAAGCCTACCATAAGTATTCCTTTACATTGTAAAAGTCGTAAACCGTAAAACTGTATTGCCATAGAACTACAAAATATTTTTTAAAGTATAAAAGCTATATTAATATTTACAAACATACCTTTCAACATGTTGATTCGCTGATTTGTTTTTTTATGGCAGAGCTTCTATATAACAAAAAAAAAGTTTAATAATGAATAAATAAAAATATATAGACTTTTTTTCTTTTTTTTTTAATGTTTGGAAACACTTCTCATCTAACTTCTGAATTACCTCGCCATTTTTCAAATTACTTTGGTGGTATATAGAATAGGATGTAGGAAATCAGAATAAATTATTTATATTGTCAGCGAATTGATTTTCGTGGCAGCGAATTCATTTGAAGTCAGATGATAGGTCATATTGTATATGTTTATTATGTTGTGAAACTAATGTCGATCATTCGTAAAATCGAATACCCGCTATGTTGGTACTGTATATATATAACTATTTTTTTATTATTTCAAGGATAACAGAGAATCCTCAAAGAAAAATTTAATATATAGACATAATAAGCAGGTAAAGAAGTAATATATTTATTTGTATATAATATAAGGAAAAATATCTCAATTCTATTTTTTATTATTATTATTAATTCAAAGATGACAGAGAATCTTCAAAGAAAATCAAAACTAGATAGATAATAAAGTGTATTACAACTAATATAAATAATAGGTATACAGTCTGCCCTTGTTTCAACAAAGTGGCTGGACATATAAGAAAATTTTATTCAACATTCATTGAAACAAGGTTACTAA